TATATATATATATATATATATATTTGCCAATGTCATTACACTATTACACACTTGAAGATGTGATTCGCAACGCTATACTTCAAAAAGTCCGAGTTTTATTTAAAATGACCCGTCTATTCAGGTCTGCTTAAGCTGTGCTCTAACAGACACTTCAGACAAGCCGTCACCCAATGAGTTTGCTTGTCAGGCTGCACAAGTGGACTTCAAAACAATACTCCATTTTACTGTATTTTGACTTCTATCAACGTCAGTGGTGTCCTTATACCATTACGGCCCTTTTTTATCACAGTACGGTCGTGAACAAGTCTATTGGTTGGACTACTGTTTGCCCAGCCAATCCCCGTGAATACAGGTGAACGCCTGTTCCACAAGATAGCTGGAATTTGTACTGAATATTGATGTGACGTATCCTAGGTATGTGATCAGCACTCTTCGTTCAATTTTGCCCTAACATTCACATACTTTTCGGCCCCCAAACACTGCAGAACCCAGCGGAACGGCTTGGTTGTATGCCTGATTCCAACTTTGCCGATATAATGAACCATTCCTTCTTCCGACCGATCGACTGGGTCGCACTCGAGCAGAAACAAGTCGCTCCACCCTATCGTCCTTCATACACCGATGACTACGATCTCACACACTTCGACCCGACGTTTACCGACGAACCGGTGGTTTTCACTCCAGACAATCCGTAAGTTGTCTGGTTTTTTTTTTGAACGCCTGTTCCACAAGATAGCTGGAATTTGTACTGAATATTGATGTGACGTATCCTAGGTATGTGATCAGCACTCTTCGTTCAATTTTGCCCTAACATTCACATACTTTTCGGCCCCCAAACACTGCAGAACCCAGCGGAACGGCTTGGTTGTATGCCTGATTCCAACTTTGCCGATATAATGAACCATTCCTTCTTCCGACCGATCGACTGGGTCGCACTCGAGCAGAAACAAGTCGCTCCACCCTATCGTCCTTCATACACCGATGACTACGATCTCACACACTTCGACCCGACGTTTACCGACGAACCGGTGGTTTTCACTCCAGACAATCCGTAAGTTGTCTGGGTTTTTTTTTCAGGAAGACGCTTGCAAGGGGTGAATGCTTCGTGCCTGTTGTCTGACCTGGTTTCCGAAACTGTTAATGTCAAATCATCTCTCAGCTTGCCACTAACCTTTTTTAGTTCATTGCTAAACCAATCATTTATCACAAATGTCGCGTGTTCAGGTTATGCATTTGACTATTTGGATGGTTTTAAGAAACGAAAACAAGTTGTATCGTGTCCACCATTACCATTCGCTTTATTCGGAGTTCGAGGGTTTAGGCGCTTCTCTTCTAGTCACCCCGTAGCTTTAAATAGCTTGGTCGCCTTGAAGGGGAATGGGAGCACATGATATCATCCATGGTACAATTGTTTGTATTTTTTGTCGTTATGTTGATAATGTTTTTCAATCGAATGGTCCTCGTAAAATGTCCGCCTGGACACTACTAGTCGTCAGTAGCACTTCGGCGCTGCACACCCTCTTGAATTACTGTTTTTCTTACACGCACAACCATACTTCTAACTTAACTGGATCCCGTTGGCTTGGTTGGGTATCAGCTGATGATAAACAAACCAGAACCGCCATTACCGAATCAAAATTGTCCACATCTAACGATCGAATTATGGTTAACATCCATATGGCCTTAGTAAGCCGGTAGCAATAGACTGGTGGCCGAACAATGCGGTCGCAGTAATGTCTCATCGGCTGATGACAGCCGGTCATCTCTATCCCGTTTCTCCCCGAGATCTGTGCCGAGGCTGACAAGGAAATGCGCTGAAACGAAAGTGCTGAACGCCGCTTTCTAAGTAGGACGCTAATTTTAGGTTTATGAGCTGAGCTGGACTGATGAAGAAAAACGAACGAAATCTCGTGAGTCAACGATGAGGGTTGCCGCCATAAAGCAGTGGCGCGTCGGAAAATTAGATGTTGGAGGGTTTATCCCCCGACACTATCAGATTCACGTTGAACTCGCAACATTTTAGACAATTGTCATCATTTAGAGAGTGGTTGCTTTAGATTCTAAGTGCTTCTGACTACGATGAAACCACTGGCTTTCCACTATGTACGCGAAACGGCAAAATACCCCAGATCCACAACATTTCTGTATACGGTACGGTACTCCCTCGCTCTCTCTGTCTGCAACCAGCAGCTAATTCGCATAAGGTAAGAAAGCACAACCACCAACACAGTCCCGTTCCACAATAACGCGCTTGTCACCTGGATCGGTGAGGAAACGTTTACCACAAAATTGCCGTGTTCAGCGAACAACTCAATCGCCATGGTAGCCTTATCTGGATAGATCAACTCCAGTGGAAAAGTTGCAATGGGTCAAACTCGAAAAGTTTCCTCCAGGGACTACCGTATGTGAATCCTCTCTATGAGGGTCTCGAAATGAACCCCAAACTATCCTGATTTAAATAGCGACGTTTGCGCGCATCATGATTCGATAACCTTTGGAGTATCTAAGCTCCACCTCATTTCGTTTCAAGATTCCCGCCTAAGTACCCCAGCGATTGAGAGTATAGCTTTTTATATGCTATCGATTGCCGTTCAACTTGGGAAATTGAAATTCCCGAACACGCTGGTCACGATAGAACCCAGGAAACATTATATCCTGTGCTAGCGAGTTGCTGACCCAATATCTCACTCGACAACTGGTCTAGTCAGAAAATCAGATAATGAGTGCCTTCCTTTTGACATGGATCAACTTAGCCGACAGTAGATAGGGGAGTGATTTGGCTGCAAGGAATCCCGGATATACCGTGACTGTCTTGTGGATTGATCTATTTTAGAATATAGATGGACTAATTTATACGACTGTTCCTGAATGTCAGAAAGCAGGAGGTTTAACGTAGCAAGTGTTCAGTGAAGGAAAGCGTAGGTCCTCAATTGCGTTTCTCCATCTGGATTCGAATGTGGCAGTTTCTTCAATCACATCAAGATGACGAATGCACCTAGACCCCAAACGCAGTGCGGTGTGTAGAATACCACGTCGTACAGAGTCAAGAATTCAAGACGTGGATACTCCATGTTATGCATGATTTAGCTTTCTATCTGCATTAACTGGAAGTGTTGCTTGATTTTCTTCTCGATTTTTATGGAGCTGGGTCAAAAGTAACCACCGATTTCTACATGGGAACGCGTAGGGATCACTTTTCACTTTCGAAGATTAGCAAGCCGGAAGAATGTATGGTTGTCCTCTTGGTGGTTCCTGGAGAACGTTCCCGAAGCCCATATCGCTTGAGAGCTCTTAAACCCATATTGGGAGTCTCCTCGTAATGATGTCGAGAATACACACATTGCTGGCTGGGTACCAAATATTCATATAACTAACAGCGTTGCAGCCAGGGTGACTGTAAACATCAGAAGTGGAAGGCTCGATCAAGGAAAGTTCCTCTTAGACTGGCTCAAACGTCGATACAGAGTCTTGGAGACGACCATGAAGCTAACGTCGCTATATGCGGTATAATGTTGGGAAAGCGCACACTGAATCCCAAAATTTCGAGACAACTCTTCGTGAAACCTAAAACCTACTGCTCGGCGATATAGCTCTCTTGAAGGAGCGCCCGAAAGAGACTGTTATAGGTCGTACACTGTGATATTCTTGGGGTAAACTGATCACGAGCGCTCTCTTCTGGACAGTGGTTCACAACAGCTGTCTAGCTTTGAGTGATCTTCGAAGCGTATTTCAATTGTGAAACACCTTTTGGACGAGATCGCTGCCGGTCGGTCACTTCAGGTGACCACTTGATCAACAAAAATCCTAAAATGAGCTTTGATTCCCTGTTTACAGTTTGCTTTTTAAGGTTGTCTATCCAAAAGGACAAGTACTCCCCAAACGACAGATGATATCTTCTCTTAGCCCTTGATCGGCCTATCGGAGCGGCAAAATGTTTATGACTGATTAGTTTCCTCCAGATTATAGCAAGAGCTGTGACACTGAACCTCGAAGATAGCCGACACCACCTGCAGATATCGTTCATTAATGCCAAGCTAATTCTGCCGCCTAGGGTTAACAGCCTGATCCGCGTGGAATCCACCCGGTAGTTCCTCAACTGGTAAGCAAGTCTCAAGTGTGTGTTTGCAATGTATTCAACCCAAGGTTTCTCTTGAATTACCTTAACTTGATATCTTGATGAAGTGGCGACTAGCTAAACGTCGATGTTTTTGTCCTCTTTTTATGTTATTTTAATCATTTCTACCCTAAAAAAATGATTCTCGAGGTGAATTAAACGTTGGACAGTAAAACTTTGCTCGGAAAAGTTTTGTCCTTTCCCAGCCACTGCACCAATCAATACGATGCACACAACGCTCACACTATGACTGTATTCGTGCTGAACCGGGTNGGCTGTCTAAACTTGGATACCAAGTCGAACCGGAATAGAGTAAATCGGGAGTAGTTGGTCAGTCCTACGGGCGTGCTGCACACCATGTGTGCGAGTCGTGACGCCTGATTATGTCTTGGACGGGGCGAGATGGCCCAAGTGGTTAGAGTGCGAATTTACTGAACAGACGTTTGGTGATTCGAACCCGACCTCTGCCTCTCTATTTGCTTTGTCTAGGCTTGGGCAAGCTGGCAGTATCCCAGCCTTCGTGCAACCTTCCGGTGGCATGGCAGTTAGGCACCGAAGGGGTGCTACAGCTGAACGATTATTCATTATTTATTTTTATGTTTCGGAAAGTAAAGTGATTCATGGATCATAAATACAAGACTTCTTAAACGAAAGCCATTCACTAGATGGTTAGAGTGAACATTAATGGGTTTCTTATCTTCCCTTTTTGTACAGGGAAAAAATCGCCAAAATCGATCAAACCGAGTTCGAAGGCTTCGAATATGTCAACCCGCTGCTGATGTCTTTGGAAGAACCTGTGTAATAACGTGCGTCATCTTCGACGCACATTTAGCTATTTTACGCTACCGATGACACTTCATAGACGTCATTGATGTAACCGAAAGCAAGAAAACAACAGTGAAACCCTATAATTTTGCTTTCTTTGATATTTTATATTTATTTCCGTCACTTCATCGACGTATAACAACCAGCCGTAACCAGGCATATCAATTGTTTCCTTGTTTTTATGTTTTTCACTAACTGATCCTGTTTCCTCGCAGTGCCTTTACCGACTTCACATATCTTTTCTCGCAACCACTCGCTGTCAACTTCGTGCACATTCCTTCCACCCGCCCGATCATGTCGGTTTAGTTATATTTTTCTATACACACCGTACTAAATGGGTACGTCGCCAAATAGTTTATTTTTTGCGGCTTCCCGCGACTATCACCAATGCCTTTGTTCACTGTCTGCGTTTTAGACCTTTTGCCGGCGCGCCCAGGACATCCACCTTCATTTAATTTCCCTGCACTCTCTATTCTACCAACTAACAGTTGTGTGTAAATTGTCATATTTTCAACAACTAAGCTTTTTCAACACTTGTTTTTTGCTGGATTCCATTCTGGGAAATGATTTCGAATGGAGCTAACACAATGAAGCGTGTTTAAAGCCAGATTGTTAAGTGAATCCGACAATAAACAGACTTGATAGGTCGTAGCGGCCCAACGGTGCTATTATTCATTATAGTGAGACCTCGAAACGCTGAAAAAGACGGTGTGTAGAAGCAATCGAAGCGGGCTTGTTGGTGCATGTCCTAGAGAGCTCGGACGGTTCCCCTGAAGATATACCAACATTAACCAAGTCAGTTACGATGAGGCAGTGTAACGACGTTTGCCTCCAATAAGATAGAGGATAGAGTATGTCTCTTCAAATCGCAGAAGGAAGCTGTCTACGAATATATCTGGATGGGGAAACACTAACTGGGCGGCATTCGGGACAGCATTTCATCCGAGATAAGGAAAGTCCCTTTTTAACCTGGACCTGCCACCAGATGGCTGCGTCAGCACACAACACAACTCACTGTAACTTCGGTTTGGGCGAAGATGCACTATTTTATTCAGTCCTACCGTGGTAAAGCAGTTAAAACAGTCTACTAGCGATCATAATCGAAATCCGATGGCCAGTTTCATTATTGCAACCGTCACCCATGTGTATCCCAAGTAATTTCGGGAACCTCGCATTTCCCAGGTTTTCTATGGTAGCAACTCGTTCACTGAATGCTTACAATCTATTTCGGTACCTCCTCGATCTACTAGCCCACGCCCTGCATTCAAATCGTCCGCTGCATGCTTTTACTTTCCCACTTCTTGCCGGTCGTTATCAGTGAGAGTATTGACCCAGCGACACTGCTTACAGTAACCAACGGTAGTGGCCTTCATTGACTTCAAGATTGCCTTTGATTCCGTCGGAAATCAGGCGCAACAGCAGTGCCTATGCAGGAAAAGTGTCTCCCTGGATTCTTTACTCTTTGAGGAGCTGTAGGCCAACTCGTGTGGGCGCTTGAAGATATACGGGAAGCTCTCCCCTGCGTTCATTGTCAGGTAGGGCTGTCCTCTTTCAACTTCGTCGTTGATACAGTTATGGAACACTCACTATCAGCACCTACTGCCTGCGACATCGAGATGCTCCCAGGGCATTTGCTGTCATATATGGGGTACACAGACGACGATCTGATGTCACTGTCATTCAGAACAATATTGGCAAACCGAAGTGATCATGTCCCAAGGTTTGGCGTGCGCTACACGCCTTGAAGTTGTAAATTGCAGCTGAAAGACCAGGTGGGTTCGAACCCGAGCCACATGCTTTGAAATGAACCAACTGATATACTGGACAAATCTGCCTGCCTGAGCAGCTGTATCACTCCCGGTGCGCTAGACAAAGACGACATTTCCGTACGCATTGGGAAGTCCAGAGCCGCTTTTGCGAACCCGCATTGTTCGATGTTCAGCTGTAGCACCCTTTCGGTGCATAACTGCCATGCCACCAGAAGGAAGCACAAGGGTTGGGATGCTGCCAGGTTGCCTAAACAGGGGAAGTCGAGAGGCAGAAGTCGGATTCGAACCACAAACATTCCGGTCAGTAGTTTCGCGCTCTAACCACTGAGTTATCCCGCCCCTGAACCTGCATCACTTGTGGTGTAAGCGCAACATCAGGTTATCCGACAAGGGTCGAGGCTACAATGCTGCAGTGCGGTCCATATTACTATACGGATCAGAAACCTGACCACTGTGCGCTGAGGACGTCGAAGGGCGTTCAGTATTCGACCATCTCTGTTTTCAGAGCATTGCCCGAGTCCGGTGGGAACACCGGACGAGCAACGATGAATTACGTCAAGTGGTTTTCAGAAAAAGTGTCTCACTCACGATAGATGAACTGATCACCCTGCACAGTTTGCACTGGCTTGGTCGCGTGCTCCGCATGCCATTCGACCGACTTCTTCGAAGGGTACTTTTCGCACAACTATGCGAAGGGGGAAGACGAGCCACGGGAGGTCAATAACTTGGCATCGAAGTAAGAAAGCCATAACCATCAAGCTCAGCTGTGCTATTCATTACCGTCTCCCCTGTGTCCCTCAGACGGGACACATCAATGGTTAGAGGCATCAACAAGCATGGCCCAGTCACGCCCTTAATGGCAAATGTGCACGCAAGCTGTTGGCTTCAGTGCACAGCTCACATCCCGATCTCCTCAATGCACCAATTATACAAGCCACCACCTCGAGTGCGCAAGTACCTATCCCACCTCAAATCATCGGTGAACAAAACTGACAACTACAGCCACTGTACGGCAAGTAAACAGTTTTTAAGGCAGGTGACGATGGCTATCACTTTTGAAGTGAATGCTTGTTAGGCGTGTAGGCAACCAAGCCGTATGTAGCGGTAAATGTGCCAAAATGTACGTTGCTATAACAAGTGCTCCTCAGATTGGAATGTACTTTATCTACCACCGTCAAGGTGTATGCAACTTAGAAAAGAAATCAACGTGTGATGCTCTCCCAGCCCATCAGGTATGGGATTCCAACGGTTAGCGATTTATAGTTTTTACCGCATTAGTTTTTTCGTCAAATCATTTCACCTTATTTCCCGTAAAAGACCCCCTGGAGAACGCAGTCACCCTTTGTGAAGTAAAGTTATTTGGGTGGGTGGATAATTTAATTTTTAAAAATTCACACACGTTAGTTATGCATCTCCTCCGACAAAGCTTTTTTATCATCGTTCCATCTTGTACTGCAGTCGTTTCCAGAAAAATTATTCCCCGGCATATGGTACAAAATGATATCTCTATATTTTCTGAAATTTATAAGTCATATGTCTTCGCCCACATTTTCGGCGGCTCAGATGCTCCCAGAATAATGACACTTGTCGGCAGCTAGTTCGATTACTGCTGCCGAAGAGTCCTGGATGATTTTTTACTTCGAAAGAACCCTGCACCTGAGGTGATAATGAACAACTTCAACCGGCACAACGGTTTTTATATCGTCCTCATCAGACCAGAAACAGCTGTTGGTAGTGTGAGGGGTTTTTGGAATTTTCAGTGGAGATTTCGTCCTGTAGGTGCAGTTAACCTATGCTGAAAAGCCGATGGACACTGCACGGTTCGTTCGTTCAATTGCTTCATCCTTAGTGAAAATAAGCAAGACCGCAACGAGAAAATCACCCATCGTCCGCATCCCACGAAACTCCATGTTGTTTAGAGCTCGCGATCTCTCGGCCGGCATCTTGAACATTCAGAGGTTTGACGATCAAGTGGTCTCAGCTGAAAACCTCATTCCTAACCATGCGTGAATAGGGACGTCGCATATAACTATGGAAACTAGAAACCTCACAACCCAGATCATTTGGAACTTTGAGGTCTATGGCGAAAGCAGAAAAATGGCATACTGCTCTTACACAGAGAACTGAGAAACACCAAAAGGCCCGTGTATTACATTCATCGGTTAAGGACGACAATTATCAGACAGTTTACTTAGCTTTGCTCCAAGCAGGTAAAGAGGAATTTGAGTCTTTGTCTTACTTGATTCATGGAAGGTAAAGCAACAGAAAATTATCTTTAGGGCTAGATACTGTGGAGATCTATCCGAATTCCACTAGAAACCCAAAGATATGTATGTATGCATTTGCGGTATTAAGAGAAGGGCGCTTGGTTACCACAGAGCAAAAATATCATCAACCATAAAAGCTCTCCAAAATACAACACCATACGATAGTATGGTCCAGGACTATTTAAATATGTACCACCCTGTCCTAGTGACAAACCCTCCTCTCCCCGAGTGTAACAACAAGAGTCCGTCGCAATGCGAACGTTACTGACAAAGACGCTCTTTGGATATGAGTAGGGCCCCGTTCTTTGAAGGTGTGACTATCAGCAACAACAGTAGTAGGTAACAACCGTGTACACGCTCTAAAATGAATCACCCGTTGCAAATCGTGCGGTTTGGGTCTCGACTAAAGAACACTGGAGTAAAAATCATGTAAAGGCGATAAATCAGTTTACTAATTTTTCTTATGCAACAAAATCAAAAATATACCGACAAGGAGTTGTCCGAATGGGGAGGAAGAGATGCAGGGGTCAAACAACGAAAGATAGCCAAGCAATGATCAGTGTTATACCGCCAACGGGAGCGATTTTAGATACGCGATTGTCTCCAGTCAGTGCAACATAGTAGCAGGATCCGCAAAACATGGACATTCCTAGGAGAAATAGGCCAGCGGTCTGTAAGCTCATGCGGGGAGAATAAGGTCACTTACTAAGTTAGGACGACGGGCTTGCGTGGCTCCAAGGAGAGCGATAGAGTGAACCAAGTTGTAGTAAGCCCCCGTCTGAAAAATGCGCTTGTCCTTCTCTCGGTCTGCACTGAATCCTATCAAAAAGAGGGTTGAGTAGGAAAGCCAGGACAATCAGACATACCGTGTGCGCCAAAGGCCCCGGCAATAACAGACAGGGCACCTGAGAGACCAGCAAGACGAACAAGCATACTGAGTGAAAACGAATCGCGCACTATCACTAATGTTGGTTCTTGTGCGGTAACTTTTGTAGAGGATAGCAGATATTTGACTGGGGCAGCAAAAGCATTGAGCAATTCATTCACATATGGGACATGAACCATAGCTGTAAGGCGAAGGGCACATCAAAGTGAAGTACCAAATGCACAGTTCAATAAAACGGGAAATCCACACCCAATATATGCATCCTGTACCTGCAAGAGATCAGTAGACATAACAATGAAGTGTTTCGCCACCTTAACTAGCCTACGAGTAAATTTGAGAGCCACGGATCAGAAGGTTCGCAGGTCAATTCGAAACCTGACCTCTGGGTTACTCCTGTGTATGCTTGGACGCGTTGGAAGTACCTTAGCCCCCATGCTTTCTTTAGGCTAAGCAAGCCACCGATAATCGCACATAAGTGTCAGTTGCAGTAGGAGGATCCATGATCATGTAAAGAACCGTAAAACGTAAGAGGAAAAAACCGGTGAAATTATAAATCCTAGTATGTTCTCAGATAAAAGCCAGCTGGGCTTTTTAGTGATCGAGGTGCAGGATGACGAAGACGGGGTGTTCTTGAGAAACGAAGTCTCACAAGAACTTGAGTTGGCTAACCGGACGAACAAAGATTTGCTGCCTGGTTGAAAGATACAGGCAGAACAACAGATGACAACAGGACTGAAAGAACTCTTGGTGATTGTGAGTAAGCGAGACAAGAAACACTATTTCTCGACGGTGTTTTCAGGTTATCAATCAAAGAATAGAAATCAACAGGACCTACAAGTTCGCGTTGTATGCGATTAACGATGGAGACCTGATTTGAAAATGACCAAGGAAATCAACAGCGGGATGAGTTCAGGATTTATGAAACTGGAGAACATGGATAAAATACATTCAGGCAGGAAATAGAAAGCCGCTCTTTCAGGATGCCTGCAAACTTGAACACCTGAGGATCAGGATAGGTCAAGAAGAATAGGCTAAATGAAGTGGAAAATGATTGAGGATTAAACAAATATGCGTGGATAACAGAGGGAATAGACAAACAGCAGACTTAGAAGGGTTGGACGTCGCGGAAGTGAACGACGAAAAACAACTTAAGAAGTTCGGCAGGAGCAGTGTGAGTGACAGCAATACGAGACAAGAACGCCGGTGCTTCACTGCCGAACCACGTAAATTCACTTGAATATTCCTCTATAATCGAAAGAAAGTAGGATAAGCAGGAGTTAGGATAACCTACACCCCCAATACCCACTCAAACACTTTGGAGAGAAACTGATAGCATGAGTGACACCCACGTCGGTTAGCCACCACATCGTTCCGTGCCTCTAGCCAGGCACAGGGAGGGCCACGTGGACATCAATCTTGGAAGGCGAACAGCAACAGCTCACGAAATTTTCGCAACATCCCGTCTGCCATGAAAAATCCAGCAAGCCCCCATGTTTCCGCTACTCCGAATTAGGCAGGGAAAACAGCAATAGTCTCCGCAGTCAAAAACTCGGTATTCGTAACACATAACCCAGCCACTTTAGCTGTTTTCTCCGCCGAAAGCCTGTCTTCTGATCAGGTCATTGCAAACTCGCTGATTCTAGCTATATTTCTGAGATATCGGCAATCAAGACTTGGAAATACTACAGATTTCCTGCCTGAAGTGGTTAAGTTTCACAGCTGTATAACAATGCAGCCCGTACTGACTGATACAAGCGTCTTTTGAGGCTCATGGAAATGCATTTTTATGCCACTAACGGCGCGAATTAGCGAGACTCACATGTTGACCTTGTGCTACATTACCGTCAGAGCTAACGCAACACCCAAGATAAGTATAGCGTTCCACAAATTCTTGCGTTACTGCTTGAATTCTCACAGGCGTGTTCAAGGAAAGTACGTCCCACACCATGACTTTGCATCTTGTGTGTGCACAACGTACGCCGAACGACCGGATGACTTTGGTCACGTTTAATGGATGACTGTTGATGGTTGGTTGTGCGGTTAATGTGAAAAATTCGCGAACTGATCTCAGATTCGGAAAGTTCTCTTTATCGTGCAAGCTTATGTCTCAACCGTCATCAAAAACAAATTTTATGGCGCGAATCCCATGTATACCAGACTAAATGTTCGGACATTGCTATGGTTTCCGGTGGGACGAATGCACAGGTGTTCAGACTTGGCGCACTTGAGACTCATATCAGCATTAGAGACAGCAACATCAGTTTCGGCACCGATGCTACACGGCCATACAAGCACACAGAT